TTTGTCTTTCACTATTTTTGTTCAGAATGTTGAACCGAATTCAATTATTGACTCACCTACAGGGTGTTCCATTTAAGATAACGGAACTTCGCTTTGTCGTAGCTTTTTGAGTGAACCTGTGATGTAAATAGACTGGAGAGAATTGTTATTAACTGAACTAAAATTGTCGTATTAATCATCTTGTTGCAACTGTCTTGGTTTATGAAATATTCCACCGTTTCCATACATAAAAGCGACTCTGTATGTACAATAGCAAAAAGGTAAAAATCAATAGTCTAGCATTCTAAATGCAACAAATAAATGTCACAAGCAAAAATATGGTACTTTTAAATAATTATTATCAATCCAATAAGGGAATACTTTTGAATCAGAAAGGGAATTTAAGGTGTATTAATCACTACTACGTCTTAGTAACATGCAATGGTGGAACTGTCTGATGATAATTAATTGGTTGACATCGATTTGCAACTGAAAAACCTTGATCGGCAATTAGCGAGAGTTTGTTTTTGTTCAGTTGAGTGAGTGCTAACGTGCTTAATTTTTAATGAGACGACGACACCGCTCTGCAAAAACGTTCTCAGAAAAGCGAATATGGCGTTGAATGCTTACAATTATCGAATGCGGAATGCAAACTTTTAGTTTCACGCTGTAATCAATTAAAAATATTTTCTTTACACAGGGTGAGTCAAAATAGGCGTTATTCCTCTCGGGGTGTTAAAAAAGGTAAAAATAATTAACAAAATAATTATTATTAAATACTGAGGTCTTTCGCAAGAACGAGAGCAACGTTTTCCAAGATAATCGGCCTCACTAATATTATGTAAATGCCTGTTGCTTCTTAAAAATAAAAAGCTCAAGTAACCATAGAAAAACACCGAAAGTGAATGAAATAGGTTATGGTGTCAACGGAAGCTGCAATCGGATTCGTTAAATGTAGGTATTCACTTTTTCGAAATGTCAATATTGTCAACAAGAAATTGTTCTTGTTGTTGTAAAGGTGTATAATTGTCATCATAACCTCAAGTTGATGTCAGCATTGCTGCGCTTAGCTTCAAACAAGTTTGTGCCCCCGTAATCATGGTATTGTGCACTCTTCTCGACCAGCTTCTTGTATTCGGTTAATTAACTCGTGCTCAATTTGCACCGGTGTTCCGTAAACGTAATATTTACTGTGTCTTGTCCTGTGTATCATACATACGTGGTAGAGTTGTAGTCCTTCCTCGGAAATTATCCGTTGCTAAGTCGATGCTTGTGATGTTGATATGCTTCGAGAAAAAAGGAAACATTTTCAATATAGTAACTGTAGAACCCACAAGATCACAAATAAATACATAAATGACCAATGAAAATGAACACCCGGAAAGTGAGAAAATGAACACCCGGAAAGTTGAGAGAAAAACGTCGATAGAAACATGCGATAGCATTACTTAAATCAGTTCTAAAGAATATCATCGATAACTACATACGAGAGGAAACAAGGATAGAAGAAACAGGCACGGATGAGGAACAATATTCATAAATTAAGACAAGCAAGAAGAACGAATCGAAATAGAAAAGTTAAAAAACGCAACGAAATACATCAAAAGATTGAAAGGGAAATGAAGAAAGCGAAAGAAACCTTACCTCACAGCAAATGTGACTAAATCAAAGAACTCCACCAAAAAACACTCCTTCAACTTGCATAGGACAATAAAGAACGCAGCAGGGACCCTAAAAGAACAGCACCATGAAATCACAAGATGCAGAAGAAATGCAAAACCAATAACAGACATTAGTGGTAAACTTCGGAGATGATAGGTGCGGAAGAAATGTTTAAAGAATACTAACGAGCCTACAATAGACCAACCAAGGAAGATATCAAAGAGGTATCGAATAGGTACATAGGAAGAAATTAATCAGGCAGCAATACAGTGGAAGAACAGGAAGTCAAACGGGGACGAAGATATATCAGACGAAAATGATAAGGTACCATACCAGAGTTACACCGCAAGACTGGTTAACATCTACATCGTATTATTATTCGATTCTTAGAAAGCCCAGCTTAAGAGATGCAAGAAACACAGAATCATCAGCCGAATGAGACATAATCATTTAAGAAAACATACAGGTTACACGCACTTTGGCCATCCAAAGAGACTAGGCACAAAATAAGTTCTCTTCGTTATGCAAGTACCAAATGTAATCGCCAACGTCCTTGGTTCAAGAAGGTATCTCCCAGAAAGAACACAAATAAAAGTTATTCAACTTCAATAACGATGATCCACAAATCTCCGTTGACCAGGAAATACAAAATCTAAATTTTTGCATACAATGGAAATTACAATCTAGGAAAAAGGAAACTTGCACAACTTTCTAAACAAGATCAATTCTTTTGTTGTTTGCTTGGGGAAAGGTGTCCTTACAATATTCTCCTCTAAACTTCTCCCCTACTGATGTTCTGAAAAACGTCCACACCGCGTTCCCTTACAATACCTGTCTTTCTTTCCCAACATAAAAATTAATTTCATTTCATTTACTCGAGAACCAGCTATCCCAACTTTAAGTATGGGTCAGTACTTCTAAAATCACTATCGATGCCAATCGATGGGTGTTCATCATCAATCAAGTCAACATCAGATATAATCGACAGGACGCACTTGTTCGTTCCAGTTTTCTTCATATTATCCACTTCCTAGTGTTGAATTAGGTTTAAGTTTTTCTTTACTGCATTGAAGAGTAGACTAAGCGACCATAAAACTAAGGTAAAAATCATGTAACATTTTTCAGTTTGTCGTACGTTAGGTAGAGTGTTATCATGGACTTTTAGAAATTTCTTGATTATAATGAAATTGGTGTAATTTGATAAAAACAAATTCTCAGATATGATTTTGGAAAAAATTGCCTACGTCTGTCGGGTTTAGTTTCTGCGTTCCTTCTTCGTAAGCTACTCAAATATTATATTCGAATATTGGCGATTTTGGATAGTAAATGGTAATTTTTTCTACTTGAAAGCGTTCTCCTGAAGCCAATTTATTTTTCTGCAACAAAATTAGAGTCCTTCGAAAGTCTAAACTGCAACTTAAAAAAAATGCAAATTACTTTTCATTGGCCTGCACATTTCACACTTCAAGGAAGTAGTAATTTTTTTAAATATTCATCAGCACGGTTAACTTAGTCATATTAAAGTACATGCTTAGATTTATATGCAGTCCAAGTGTTCCTGCAAAGCTCCTAATACTAGAAGGCAGATTGAGAAGAGTCTTATAGAGTCTTGTCAAGTGTTACTCGGCGTAACGCCAGCTCTGTTTAATCAATGTGATGGTAATTAGAGAGTTAGAGCCCTTGCTTTGTCGGCTCTATGACTTCTTTGAATTCAATTTTATTACACGTTTTATGATAGCTAATAGGTTTTACTGCAGATGTTATTTTTCATACAAATACAACACATTACAACATTATAATGATGTACACTTTGACTCTTACTATTATCATATAATACTTGAGTCTCTGTTGATCCGATAGGGATAATTTAACATTAGATAAATTAATATCAGTGTGCGAATTGACTAATCAAATAGGCACAGGTAAGAACTTTCAGAAGAAAGTGAGCAAAAACGTACTCTACAGTAAATTATCCAGTTTTGAACGCGCTTGCGCTGTTATTGTGTCAGAAAAATTTTTCTACTCGTGGAAGTAAACCTTTTTCAAAAATCATGCTGCATAACATTAAGAAATATAGGATAATGTTTAGAATGTGCATTAGGCTACCGTGAAACATTACAACTTTGTCAAAAGTCTACAACTTTGAACACTGCATGTGCGGTAAAAGTAAAGTAAAACGTGAAATATTTTTAATTGCTCTATATTTATAAATATATTTTGTGGATTTTGTGGACAAAGTAGGCACAATTATTCATTGTCAATTTGGTATAGATTGTTTATGGTTGAGCAAAGCTAGAAAACTTTATTATAGCATGACGGAAAGAGGATTATTCTCTAATATCAATTCACATTAATGTGATTCTTTATTTACATTAACACATTAATGTCCGTCCTTTTTGGACACCTTTGAAAAGGTGTTTGCGTCTAATTTAAATTCAATAAAATAAAAAATACATAATATAACAAAGAAGGGCTGTATGTCGACTAACGATAATTTTTCTAATTTCATAGACAACAAAATACTTTTTCACTCTTTCAACAGAAGAATTTCGACTACATGACCCCCCCTGACTTCAAAGCTGGATCGGCGGCTGCTCAATGTATGATAATCAAATTTCGCCTTCCGGGTGAAAACTACTAAAATTTCCTCACTCATGTTGTTATGACTGAATAGAATTATGAATTCTCTATTCAGCGATGCCAAAACAAATTCTGTGGCTCGAATGGTTCTTGAGAAACTTCTAAAAAAGCCGCGTCATGTTTGAGTCGACTTTGCAAGTCAAAAAAAACACACAAATCTAAAACTTATTGAAATAAATACTTTTTTGAGAAAACTGCCTACATTTCCTTATTGATGGTTCACTTTCTTAAAAAGCCAGTTAGTTGTCTCTGGAGTCTCTGGAATGATGTAAAAATGAGCGTTTCTGCTCATTTTGCTTCCGAGAAATGAGCAAAAACGGGATGAAAAACATGAAATGTTGGCAAAATTTAGCAACTAAGTGTCTGATATTCAAATTTCGCATTTTGAGCAAATAAAAACAACTTATTATAAGCCTGACTTCATGGTTGTATATGCGCTTTTCATACAAAATTTGCAGGTACAGGGATTTTCCAAACAGAAAATGTATATAAAACTATGCGAATTTCGAAATGTTTTATTTGTAAGGTTGAGCTATACTATAAATATGAGAGATAAGCCAACTTGTTCCAAAGTTTTATTTATAAATTAGCTTCATTGTTTTATTGATACTTAGTTTTTATTTGTATGGCAAAACATGTTGTACTCAACTATGCGCTTTGGTGTCCGCTGGTAATTGTACAAGCAAAATTACTATTGTTTCTTATCAGCGGACGTGTTATAAACAGAGCGTACTGACTGCAACTAGATTATTATTCACTTAAAACAGGGCAAGCTTAAGTTTCCATCGAGCTTCTTTCAAATAATACACGCGTGTATTAGTTCGGAACATTATAGTTCACATCCACATTAACTGGGTCTTATCTACATGTGAAATATCATAGGACTGACTACCTAATGCAGGCCATTAAAGTAACTCAATTAAATTGATCGTTCTTGACCAGAAATTAGGTAAGACATACATGCGATGATTAAGTGTGCTTTAATAAAATTTGCTTCGTTGCTTGTGAATTAATAATTTATGAGCATTTATAAATACATCAAACTATGAAGATCTGTATTTGCAAGTTGATAGGTTAAACTTAAATTAAAGCTGTCTTGGAGTCTGTGAAGATGTTCAGCTTCTTCACATTGGTTTCTAGTCCAATTCACCTTATCATTTTTTATTTTGTTTCTTATGATTCGGTTATACTCTTTATATCTATATATATTGTCACGTGGATTGCCGAGTATCAAATTCTTTCTTCTGGTTACAACTTTTATTCCACTCGGTACAACTTTAACTACGGAACAGGAACAAACTAACTTCAAAGTTACCGTCAACTTCACTAACAATAACAATAACACACGGAAAACACGCGTTTCCGGCTCCCGGAGTTTAACTTCTTCTGCACTTGGCCGCTCCTGTCACTTTTACTCTCCCGGTCTGGTTCTCGTCGTCGCTTATATCCTTTTCTCCAGGTATTCCAGATAGTTCTAGAAATCTCCAGAACAGGTGCGAAACTTCCCGCTTGTCAGTGTCATATTTGACAGTAAATGGGGCCCAAATGGGGCTCCCATT